AAGCCGCTGAGTTTGGGCCTTGAACGTAGTCAGCTACATTGGAGTCCAGCAACATAACCATTATGCTATCTGCTGGTCCCAAGAAACGAACTTTTTTTTAACCCCTGCTCACAAGCTGAGTTCCACCTGGAGGGCTCTGCCTCTGTCCAGGTGTGGTCTTTACACCTGCTCCTTTTGCCCACATTCATTGTTGTAATCTTGTTTCTTGAAATGTAGTGGGGGTCATATATCCCAGCAGGGAATGTCTCAGATTTCTGCCTCTCCCATGTTGCTTAAAGTCTGTTTCACCCTGAAAGATTGGAACACTTTATCATTCAAACCAGCCTTATCATTCAAAGGTACATTCCTTGAGAGCCCTCCATGTCTTATCTCTCACTACTTCTATGCCTAAGTAGGGTTCTGATGCCCAAGACTGTTTGATTAAGAAAAAGTGCTACTTCAAGGAACCTAACTGGTTAACTGTTTCCTGCCCTGAGATGGAGCTTAATGACTAGACTAATGTTTTATTTCCAGAAGACTGGGCCCTACCCAGAAGGAAGTGCTAATCTTTGTGCATGTCTGTAATGATGAAGAGTCTGGCTGACCAAATGCCCTCTAAGGCAGGAGGTAATGAATGAGGCTTAGGAATAGGAAACGGCTGAAGGACTGTGGTTAGAATCTGCATTGTGCTGGCTCTATAGCTTAGTGGTTAAGGAAGCTAGATCCCACGTGGCTGATTGCAGTTCAAATCCCAGCCCTGGCAGCATGATAAAACATGCATATGGATGTGCCCCAAGTGCTGACATAATAGAGAATGGAGAAGGGATTGTGGTGTGACCACGTCCCATTGGGAGGTGCTTGCTCTCTCTTTGCTTAGCACATACGCTCTCTGGCAGTTAAGAAAGAAAGAAAAGAAAGGAAAAGGGAACCAGCAGTTAGCATAATGGCTGTGTCGCTGGACTCCCACGTAGTCGACCTGGACTCCCACGTCGGACCGGGTGGCTTAAATCTCACGCCGGGCGCGTGTGCGTGCGTGCCCAGGATCCCGAGAGGAGAATGGAGGAGAAGGGATTGCGGCGTGACCATCCCCCCTGGGGGGTGATTTCTCGCGTTCTGTCTCTATGTCTCTGTCTGTCTGGCGAGCGCACGTGCCCTATAGCGAAAACCTCTCCAAAAAAAAAAAAAAAAAGAAAAAGAAAAGAAAAAAAAAAAGAAAGGACGAAAAAGAAAGAAAGGAAAGAATCTGCAGTAAGAGCTGCCATTGTTTGGATGGTTCCATTTCTAGGCATTGTGTCTCAACAACAAAGCTTAGACCCTAGGTGGGACCTCCTTTCTTCCTCAGCCCTTTTACTTTCTCTTTAATATGCTATTTAATGAATTAGTTATTTTGTTTTAAAATTTACATCTAATTACTATACCTACCCTCTCCTGGAGAAAACTCAAAGAAACAGACTTTTTTCTGTGAAGTGTTTCTTGTTTCCCACTAGTCAGACCTGACCAACCAGAGTGTGTGGTCACTCAAGACTTTGGCTGGAGATGTCTGTGAGAGAAACCAGAGGAATGGCCCAAGGTCCACTCCTGCCTGTTCACTGTGATTCTTCCCTTTCTCTGGTTTGTCCTCATATCACTCAATGTTTCTGAGGTTCTGCTGTGAAATCTGCTTTCTTGGTAGGTTTGAGGGGATAAGTTTTCCAGGATAGCTGTTCTCTTCTTGTTTCATGGAAGATGATACCCAAGGACTCTCCTACAGGGACGAGGATACTAGAGCTGGGGCTTGCTTGCTAAAGCCTGCAGAGAGATTGATTCCGTATCTGTTCTTCTACTGGGTTGTCAGAAAAGTTATAATGTCTTTTTCTTTGTAAAAATGCATCATGACTTTTCCGATGACCCAATACTTTGAGCCCTGGGAAGAGTCCTGAGTGACTCCACATCGTTGGAGTTCATTGCTAGTCCTGACCAAACCCTCTGGGAGGTCAGAGTCAGGGTGTGGAGTGGGCTTTGTGGTCAGTCAGACCTAGGTCTAAATCTCAGCTCCATCACCTTCTAATACTATCTTATAGCAGGCCCTGAGTTTCCCTGCACACCCAGAGTTCTGTCCCTTTCAGCTGTGAGTGACTGTCTGCAGAGGACCCTGTTTCCTGGTGCTGTTGTTTCCTCCTGGTTTTGATGCAATCTCAAGTCTAACCCTTCATAGGCTATGTGCCTGGCACAATGATAAACACTTTATGAACATTGTTTTATTTAATTTTAAAAATGGCAGCATGAGGTTTATTTAATTATTTGCGTTTTATAGCTGAGACTAAAACTTGTTGGAATAACTGACACAAAAATCACACAACTTTTACAAGGCAAGGTCAGAGCTAGAACCCAGGTCTTCAGAGCTTGAAAGAGGGTAACACGGTATAACAGAAAAAAAAAAAAAAGTTTTGGGGTCAGATATTTGAGCTCAGTTCTGGGCTTTGTTCTGGCTGCAGGACTTCAGATAATCCCCTTAAACTTTCTCAGCTTCACTTTCCTCACCAGTTAAATGAAGAGAAATGATCTACACAAGTGTTCTGAGAATGCAATGAATCAGTGTGCATAAAATGCCTGTCATTTTTCATAGGCTTGCCATAGCACCAAGAAGCATCGGATTTCACCACCACCCCATCCATCATGCCACAAGGCTTCAGTCATCTTCCTGTTACATCATGCCTTTCCCAGCCCAATGGGGAAATCAGGCAGGAACACAAATAACCGTGATGGACGAGAGAAGGCAATAGGTACTTTGTGAACATACGAGCTTTTCTAGAGTGGCCAAGCACCATTTCATGGGGACAATGATATTAAATCTGGATTTATTAATGTATCAGATTTCAAGAAATAGAAAATAGATGGAAAGAGCCCAAAGTTCCATGTCTGGTAACTGGAGAGGGCATAAAGTGGGGTGGTGGAGGTGTGAGTACTTGGTGGACTAAAGGGCTGCCATGGAGGATGTGGTGTTACTCATGCCTGCATGCTAGGTTCTAGGGTGGAGTATAGGCTACAGGCTGGGCTTGAAGGGGCTGGACTCAGCTGCCCTTCCTTCACCCAGCTCCTCGCTGCCACCTGCTGGTCATCAGGAGCCCAGTCCTGCTGGAGGGGCTAACAGTGGGTCAGCCTTTAGCATCCCTTTAGCAGGGACAGTGGGGAGCAGGGACAGTGGGGAGCACGGAGGAGTCTACAGCCAAGGCTGTCCTACCCCACAGAGAACTGGCATGATACACAAAGGCGCAATATCTCTCTTCAGCTCCTTAGACCAGCTGGGATTCTATTTTTAACCAGCACTGTCGTTGCTTGACAGCTTGGAACGCCTTCTCCCTCCTTTTATTCCTTCCTACTGCCTCTTGCAGCCCAGAACCCTGGAGAAAGGATGGATGGGAGCAACCCCAGCACTGGCAAACAGCAAACTCATCCCCCCTCCCCCCACCCCCCCCCCCCT